AAAAAATCCATAATGTGATTGCCGGGCTCAGTGGCTCATGCCTGTAAATCCCAGCACTTCGGGAGGCTGAGGTGGGTGGATCACAAGGTCAAGAGATTGAGACCATCCTGGTCAACATGGTGAAACCCCATCTTTACGAAAAATACAAAAAATTAGCTGGGCATGGTGGCGCGTGCCTGTAATCCCAGCTACTCAGGAGGTGAGGCAGGAGAATTGCCTGAACCCAGGAGGCGGAGGTTGCGGTGAGCCGAGATCATGCCATTGCACTCCAGCCTGGGTAACAAGAGCAAAACTCCGTCTCAAAAAAAAAAAAGAGAGAGAGAGAGAGAGAGAATACCTGAGCAGAAAATATTACAGGTAGAGGGAATGGCAAGGGTAAAAGCTTTGTGCAGAAAAGGGTGTCCTGCTCGAGGAACAACAAGGAAGCCAGCATGGTTGGAGCAGAGTGAGCGAGGGAAAGAGTAGAAAGAGTTGAGGTGGGAACAATGTACATACCTAGGCCATATAGGGTCTCACAGGTCATAGCAAGGCCTTGCAAATTTATACTATGTGTGATGAGAAACCCTCTGGAACATTTTAAGCCGAGGAGGCGGGGAGTGTGTGTGTTTGTGTCTCCCTTTACAAGTTGTACAGCAGAGCCTTTCCTGGCCACTGCCCTTTTCTCCTCTTTTCCCACAGTGAACCTAGGAGCCCTGGCAGGCCCCTAACCTGGCTCTCTGGCTGTTTATTTATCATCTAAACTGGGGGGCTCTTCCAGGTCCAGGAGCTGCTCTGATCTGCTTCAATGTCCCCAGCACCCTACTGGACATTGACAAATGTCAACACATGATTGAGCAATTTAAAGCAGAGAAAAATATTGAATTATTCTGACACAGCTTTGCATGATTTGTAAAGTTCTCTGGATTTTGCTACTTTATTTATTTATTTAGAGGTGGAATCTTGCTCTATTGCCCAGGCTGGAGTGCAGTGGTGCAATCTCGGCTCACTGCAACCTCCACCTCCCAGGTTCAAGCCATTCTCCTGCCTCAACCTCCCAGGTAGCTGGGACTACAGGTACCCACCACCACTCCCAGCTAATTTTTGTATGTTTAGTTTTGGGGCAGGGGTGGGGGTTCATCATGTTGACCAGGATGGTCTTGATCTCCTAACCTTATGATCCACCCTCCTTGGCCTCCCAAGTAGCTGGGATTACAGGTATGAGCCACCACCATGCCTGGCCTACTTTATTACTTTTTATGTATTTGTTTTTGAGACAGGGTCTTGCTCTGTCACCCAGGCTCAAGTGCAAGTACTGTGATCATAGATCACTGCAGCTTCAACCTCCTGGGCTCAAGTGATTCTCCTAAGCCTCCCAAGTAGCTGGAACCACAGGCTCATCACCATGCCTGGTTAATTTTCTTTTGTTTTTTGGTAGAGATAGGGTCTCACTGTGTGACCCAGCCTGGACTCAAACTCCTGGCGTCAAGTGATCCTACTGCCTTAGCTTCCCAAGTAGCTCGAACTACTGGCTCATGCCACCACACCAAGCTAATTTTTAAATTTTTGTAGAGATGGGGTCTCACTGTGTTGCCCAGGATGGTCTCTAACCCCTGGGCTCAAATGATCCTCCTGCCTTGGCCTCCCAAATTGCTGGGATTTCAGGTGTGAGCCATTGTGCCTAGCTAGGTTTTGCTGCTTTAATCTGGACGATTTTGGCCAGGTGTGGTGGCTCATGCCTATAATCCCAGCACTTTGGGAGGCTGAGGTGGGTGGATCACGAGGTCAGGAGTTGAAGACCACCAGCTTGGCCAAAATGGTGAAACCCCATCTCTACTAAAAATACAAAAAATTAGCCAAGTGTGGTGGCAGATGCCTGTAATCCCAGCTACTTGGGAGGCTAAGGCAGAGAATTGCTTGAACCTGGGAGGCGAAGGTTGCAGTGAGCTGGGATCACGCCACTGCACTCCAGCCTGGGCAATAGGGAGAGACTCCATCTCAGTAAATAAATAAAGTGAAAAATTTTCCCAAGGTTTTCTTCTTGGCAGTTTTTATTATTCCAGAACTCACTGGCTGGCTGTCCCAACATGCTGCACCATAGTCTTTCATCGTTGGTAACTTCTGATCTTCAACACCCAATCTTAGCACCTGTGTCAGAGCAATTCACTTGAGCTTTCTGGGCTCCTCACTTCCCATGGTGGGGATACGGTCAGGCATGGTGCCTCATGCCTATAATCCCAGCACTTTGGGAGGCGGGGGTGGGCAGTTCACCCCAGGTCAGGAGTTCGAGCCCAGTCAGGCCAAGATGGCAAAACCCCATCTCTACTAAAAATTCAAAAGTTAGCAGGGCATGATGGTGCACACCCGTAGTACTAGCTATTCGGGAGGCTGAGGCAGGAAAATCAATTGAACCCAGGAGGCAGAAATTGCAGTGAGCCGAGATTACACCACTGCACTCCAGCCTGGGCAACAAGAGCAAAACTCTGTCTCAAAAATAATAATAATAACCCCAAAATTAGCCAGGTGTGGTGGCACAGGCCTGTATTCCCAGCTACTCAGAAGGCTGAGACACGAGAATCACTTGAACCTGGGAGACAGAGGTTGCAGTGAGCCAAGATCGCACCACTATACCCAGCCTGGGCAACAGAGCAAGACTGTGTCTCAAAAGTAAAATAATAAAATGGGCCAGGTGTGGTGGCTCACACCTGTAATCCCAGTACTTTGGGAGGCCGGGGTGGGCAGAGCACCTGAGGTCAGGAATTTGAGATCAGCCGTGTCCAACATGGTGAAAACCCCATCTCAACTAAAAATACAAAAAAAATTAGCCAGGTGTGGTGGTGCCTGCCAATAGTCCTTGGGAGGCTGAAGCAGGCTAATCGCTTGAACCCAGGAGGCAGAGGTTGCAGTGAGCCAAGGTCATACCAATGCACTCCAACCTGGGTGACAGAGTAAGACTCCATCTCAAAAAAATATAAATAAATAAATAAAATGGTAATGATAAACCCTACTTCTGAGTTCCTGTGAGAATCAGATGTGAAAGTGACTTATAAAGCACTTCTTCAACCACATGCAGTGGCACATACCTGTAGTCCCAGCTACTCCAGAGGCTAAGGCAGGAGGATCACTTGAGCCCAGGAGTTTGAGTCCATCTTGGGCAATGTAGCAAGACTCCATCTCTTAAAATAACCAACCAACTTAAAAACAAATAAATAAAATGCTCCTGACCAGGCACAGTGGCTCACGACTATAATCTCAGCACTTTGGGAGGCCAAGGCAGGCAGATCACGAGGTCAAGAGATGGAGACCATCCTGGCCAACATAGTGAAACCCCGTCTCTACTAAAAGTACAAAAAATTAGCTGGCGCATGCCTGTAGTCCCAGCTACTTGGGAGGCTGAGGCAGGAGAGTTGCTTGAAACCAGAAAACAGAAGTTGCAGTGAGCTGGGATCGCGCCACTGCACTCCAGCCTGGTGATAGAGTGAGACTCTGTCTCAAAAAAATAAATAAATAAAATAAAAAATAAAGTGCTCCTTTACATTACAAGGGAATAACTGGCATTACATGTCAGTTGCCAGGTGAGATAAATTTCTTTTTTTTTTTTGAGACGGAGTTTTGCTCTTGTTACCCAGGCTGGAGTGCAATGGCGCGATCTCGGCTCACCACAACCTCCGCCTCCTGGGTTCAGGCAATTCTCCTGCCTCAGCCTCCTGTGTAGCTGGGATTACAGGTACGCACCACCGTGCCCAGCTAATTTTCTGTATTTTTAGTAGAGACGGGGTTTCACCATGTTGACCAGGATGGTCTTGATCTCTTGACCTCGTGATCCACCCGCCTCGGCCTCCCAAAGTGCTGGGATTACAGGCTTGAGCCACCGTGCCTGGCCCAGGTGAGATAAATTTCATGTGGTGACTTAAGGCACTTTTCTATTAGGTACTATAAAGGAAATGAAGGTTTGTCTATTCATTTATTCAAAAGTGAATAAATCAATGTTTAGCTTCCAGAGTGTGACCATAGGGACCCAGAGATGAACCAGTGCACCAGGAGCTCCCAGTTCTGTGTGTGTGACTGGGGGAACACCCACAGGAAGACAACCACACATCACATGAACACGTAATCTCCTATCCTTCCTCTTCCTTGTGCCACACTAGCCACAACTGTTTTCTAGAGTCTTCCTGCACACAGGCTGCATTGTACCCCTCTGCCCACAGTGACTCTTTTGGAAGAGGGGCAGTTGACCACATTCAGGGCAATCAGGGCCAATAACACTCAGTGGATTTTTTGGGATGGAAGGAGCATGAAGACAGATTAAAGCATGTCTAGAATTGTTGGGGGACTTCTCGTCACCTTGAGAGAACCTACCTGAGAGTGAAGCTGTCTTTTGCCATGCCTGCTGCTGTAACAAAATGCCTTAGACAGGGTCGTTTATAAACAATAGAAATTTTTTTGTTTTTGAGACTGACTCTCACTAAGCCACCACTCAGGCTGGATGGAGGGCAGTGGCGTGATCTCAGATCACTGCAACCACCATCTCCCAGATTCAGCTAATTCTGAGTAGCCTGTCTCAGCCTCCTAAGTAGCTGGGATTACAGGCACCTGCCATCATGCCCGGCTAATTTTTGTATTTTAGTAGAGACGGGGTTTCACCATGTTGGCCCGGCTTGTCTTGAACTCCTGACCTCAGGTGATCTGCCCGCCTTGGCCTCCCAAACTGCTAGGATTACAGGCATGAGCCACTGTACCTGGCTAACAATAAAAATTTATTCCTCACAGTTCTGGCAGCTGAGAAGTCCAAGATCAAAGCACTGGAAGATTTAGTGTCTGGTGAGGGCTTGTTCTTTGCTTCCAAAATGGTGCATTCTGACTGAGTCTTCCCACGGCAGAGGGAGCAGGAGGGATGATCAGGTTTCCCCAAGCCCTTTGTAAAGTCACTGATCTCATTAATGAGGGGAGAGCACCAATCACCTCCCAAAGGTGATTAATTCCATCTTAATACCATCACCTTGATGGTTAAGTTCCAACATAGTCTCCACGTATCTTTGGAACCTGTCAGCTGTGGCAGTCGCCCTTCCTAGCCATGGAAGAGCACATTCTTGTTTTTGTTGACAAAGCTGTCACCATTTGGTATCAGATTCTGGCCTGCACAAGTAACATTCTTCACCATTAAAAACCTGGAGGGTTTCAGGTTATTGGGCAAACTTTTCTAAACTATTGTTCAAATGTTTCTAGAAAAAAAAATTGGAATTCCAACATAGAAATTTTGGGAAGGGGCACCAACATTCAGACCATAGCAGAATCCAAGACAAAATAGAGGAAAACAAGGAAATGAAGAGGGACTTGTTTGAGTGACACAATTTTGGGAACCCACATTCAGCCATTTCAGAAGCTATCTGCTCCCCTCCCACTCCCTATTAGTCCCCCAATCCCACTTTTAGGCCTTCACCGCTTGCTGAATGGAAAGTCACAGCTGCACCCAGGGGCTGCCTCAGTGGCAGCTGCAGCAACATCAGTGCCCGGGTCCAGCCTGAGTGGACTCAGAGGCTTTGGCTTCCAGTGACTGCCCAGATGAGCCAGGTAATATGACATAGAAATGTGGGGAGTGAACATTCCCATGAGTAAACTCTGACCATCAAGACTGAGGATTCAGAAAGGAACTGAGGAGTAATATCTTTTACTTTTCCTCTTCCCAATAGACTGTTCAGCATGACCTCCCTAGACATGTCTCATCTAGGTTATCAGAATTAGCAGATATAAATCCTTGTATTAAAACATTCTTTGCGTTCATCTAAAATTCAAATTTAACCGGGAATCCTATATTTGATCTGGCAGCCCAAACCCAACAACCATGTTTGCTGAGACTCTGCAGCCGGTTTGATGACACGCGACCCTGTCCTTGCTTTTCCTCCTGCACTCCGTTCTTTACTCACTCCTCTGTCTCCTTTACTCTTGCTGCCCTGGGCTCTCTTTTCTAGGGGACAAAGAAAAACAGGCCAACTCAATAGGATTTCTGTCACTTGCATCTGAAGAATCCTTACAACAAAATGTAGGGCTAGCACAGTGGCTCACACCTATAATTCCAGCACTTTGGGAGGCTTAGGTGGGCGGATCACGAGGTCAGGAGTTCGAGACCAGCCTGGCCAATATGGTAAAACCCTGTCTCTACTAAAAATGCAAAAAAAAAAAAACCTCATTGAGGCCGGGCGCGGTTGCTCAAGCCTGTAATCCCAGCACTTTGGGAGGCCGAAGTGGGTGGATCATGAGGTCAGGAGATCGAGACCATCTTGGTCAACATGGTGAAACCCTGTCTCTACTAAAAAATACAAAAAATTAGCTGGGCATGGTGGCGTGTGCCTGTAATCCCAGCTACTCAGGAGGCTGAGGCAGGAGAATCGCCTGGACCCAGGAGGCGGAGGTTGCAGTGAGCCGAGATCGCGCCATTGCACTCCAGCCTGGGTAACGAGAGCGAAACTCCATCTCAAAAAAAAAAAAAAAAAACTAGTTGAGCGTGGTGGTGTGTGCCTGTAGTCCTAGCTACTTGGGAAGCTGAGGCAGGAGAACTGCTTGAACCCAGGAGGCAGAGGTTGCAGTAAGCCAAGATTGCGCCACTGCACTCCAGCCTGGGAAATAGAGACTCCATTTCAAAAAAAAAAAAAAAAATGTAGCCTCAGTTCCTCCTCCTGTGGGATGAGGATGACAGTTTCTACCCATTGACAGCTTCGGATAGATGGTGCTATTGTTTGGATGTTTGTTCCCTTCAAATCTCATGTTAAAATGTAATCCACAGTGTTGGAGGCGGCGCAAATGGACTGACACAGATGGGAAGAGCAAGTGGCCTGAGGAAGGACAGGCGGTAACACCAGGACCAATGGGCCACTCTAGCAGGCTTGAGCCCCAGAGCTGCCCCCTGCCACACTGAGCTCACGGGGCTGCTGGGAAATGGGGCTGCTTGCCCTGCTGTGGCTGTGTTCCTTCCATGATCTCTCACTGGGATGATGTCTCTCCTGGCTCTGCTTCACCAGACCACAATGCCTGCCTGCTTCAGACTTTGTCAGTCAGATTAACAAGCACCAGGGAGACCAGGAGGACCAGAGGACTGCCTTTACCCTGCCACTCTTTCTACAGTGTGGACTGCAGCCCTCCTCTGGCTTCATGCTGATAAGGCTGTGGGAGGCTCGGCCTGTCTTAACCTAACCAACACTTGCCTCTCCCTGAGTGCACCTGCAATCCCCTTTGCCTGGAATGACCCTACTGTGGCCTTTAAGGCCCTGCACTATCTGGTCTTTATCTGTCTTTCATTGATTTATTCACTCAACAAACACAGCTTGGGCAGACTGTGTGGCAGGCACTGTTCTAGGCACTGTCTACCAAGAGACAGCAGTGAACAAAACAGACAGAAATCCCTGCCTTCATGGGACTTACAGCCTAGTGCAGAGATAGAAAATAAAGCATGCACAGAAGAAAAATATATAGGGTATCAGGTGATAAGTATGATGGGGGAAAATAATGCAGGGACGAGGGGTGAAGACACACCCTTCCCCCTCTAGCCTCACTCTCTCCCCAGTCAGTCCATTCCCACCATGCTGGTCTTCTTTCTTTCTCAAGTGCACCAAACTCCCTCCAACCTTAGGGCCTTTGTGCTTCTAGTTCTTCTGTCTAGGAAAGTCTCCTCCTTCTCCTTCCCTACTGCAAAGATTGTTGCATGGCTGGATTCTTCTTACCATTGGAGTCTTGGCTCAAGTGACACTCCAGGGAGGCCCTGTTGAATCATCCAGTCCAGTACCTTTTCCCGGTTACTCTTTAACCCATTAGCTTGTTACACCGCTATATTTTCTCCATGTCGCCACTCTGAGAAATGCTCCTCTGTGCTTATGTATTTACATGCTCAGTGTTTCTCCCCCTAGAATTTCAGCACCATGACAGTGAGGACTTTGTCTTGACTGTCTGTCCCTCCAATGCCTGGAACATAGTAGGCGGTAGGCATTCAGTGAGTAGTTATTGAGTTACTGATACAGTCATTGCTCTTTTGTCCTCCCCCCACCTCCACCCCCAGTTCATTTTCTTTCACCTAAAGAACTCCTACTTTTCCTTTAAGACTAGTCTAGCAAGAGACCAGGCATGGTGACTCACACCTGTAATCCCAGCACTTTGGGAGGCCGGGGTGTGCAGACTGCCACATGGCAAAACCCTGTTTCTACAAAAAATACAAAAGTTAGCTAGGTGTGGTGGCACAGGCTTGTAATTCCAGCTACTCAGGAGGCTGAGGAGGGAGGATGGCTTGAACCTGGGAGGCAGAGGTAGCAGTGAGCCAAGGGCATGCCACTTCACTGTAGCCTGAGTGATACAGCCAAACCTTGCCTAAAAAAATCAAACACACAAACAAAAAGACTAGTCTAGTGGGGAGACACCAGTAAACACTACAATACTCTATTAATTAAGGCAACACTAGCTGCTATAACAAATAGGCCTTCAAAGGAATTACATCTCAGACATAGTTGAAGCAGGTAGCTTTCCTCTATACATTGATCCTGGACACTGGGCTCCATCCATCTTGTGGCGGCACCATTCCTAAGGGTCGTGTCATTGCCCAAATACAGCTGGTAGCAGGACATTGATGGTGTGTAGATGACACAACTGCTTTTTAAAGGCCTTGGTGTGGAAGTGACACATAATGGGTTCTGCTTACATTCCTTTAGCAAGAGCCAGTAGTATGACCACACCTAGATGTAAGAGGTGGTGGGAAACAGGGTGCCAGCTGGAAAGCTGCTTTCCAGCAACATCCACTTGGTATAGAAGAAGGAGAAATAAGGCCGGGCGTGGTGGCTCATGCCTATAATCCCAGCATTTTGGGAGGCCGAGTCGGGTGGATCACGAGGTCAAGAGATCGAGACCATCCTTGTCAACAAGGTGAAAGAAACCCTGTCTCTACTAAAAATACAAAAAAATTAGCTGGGCATGGCGGCGGGTGCCTATAATCCCAGCTACTTGGGAGGCTGAGGCAGGAGAATTGCCTGAACCCAGAAGGCGGAGGTTGCAGTGAGCCGAGATCGCGCCCTTGCACTCCAGTCTGGGTAACAACAGCAAAACTCCATCTCAAAAAATAAAAATAAAAAAAGAAGAGGGAGAAATAAGCCCTGGGGCAGTGGCTCACACCTGTAATCCTAGCACTTTGGAAGGCTGAGGCCGGTGGATCACCTGAGGTCAGGAGTTCAAGACCAGCCTGGCCAACATAGTGAAACCCCATTTCTACTAAAAATATGAAAAATTAGCTGGGCGTGATGGCAGATACCTGTAATCCCAGCTATTTGGGAGCCCAAGGCAGGAGAATCACTTGAACGAGGAGCCAGAAATTGCAGTGTGGGGAGACCGCATCACTGCACTCCAGCCTGGGCAACAAGAGTGAAACTCTGTCAAAAAACAAAAAAGAAGCCGGGTGCGGTGGCTCACGCCTGTAATCCGAGCACTTTGGGAGGCCGAGGCGGGTGGATCACGAGGTCAAGAGATCGAGACCATCCTGGTCAACATGGTGAAACCCTGTCTCTACTAAAAAAAATACAAAAATTAGCTGGGCATGGTGGTATGCACCTGTAGTCCCAACTACTCGGGAGGCTGAGGCAGGAGAATTGCTTGAACCCAGGAGACGGAGGTTGCAGTGAGCTGAGATCGTGCCACTACACTCCAGTCTGGGTAACAACAGTGAAACTGCGTCTCAAAAATAAATAAATAAAAATAAAAAATAAAAAAGAAGAAGAGGGAGAATAAATTGTGCTTCAGAAACTGTATTTCTGGGCTGGGCACAGTGGCTCACACCTGTAATCCCTGCACTTTGGGAGGCCAAAGTGGGCAGATCACTTGAGGCCAGGAGTTCCAGACCAGCCTGGCCAACCTGATGAAACCCCATCTGTACTAAAAATACAAAAAATTAGCTGGGCATGATGGTGGGCACCTATAATCCCAGCTACTCAGGAGACTGAGGCAGGAAAATCACTTGAACTGGGGAGGTGGAGGTTGCAGTGAGCTGAGATTTCGCCACTGCACTTCAGCCTAGGTGACAGAGCAAGACTTCATCTAAAAAAAAAATATTGTATTTCTGCCTCTGCCACAAATACAGTGTGGTAAAGGAAGCACAGGAGCTAGGGTGACCCAGAAGAGGCACTTA